TATTTCGTATCATTGTATTCCTTCCATATTCGTATGTGACTAATCTACATTTTCGGTTCGTTAATCAGAAAAAGAAAAAATACATGTCGTTATTTCACGAGTCACGAACGAAATACGCTTCCACTTTCTAGGAATGTTTTCATAGTTCATTTTTATTTGGATGTTATTGACTTTATGAATTTATGTTGAAAACCTTTTTTTTATGTTAATTACTTTAATCATTTTATGAATTTATGTTGAAAATGCTAGATTTTTTTAAAATGTGTTGTTTATTTATTAAATGAGTTATATGAGTTGGGGTGGGTTGAGGTTTCCAGCCCACCAACCCGTGACCCACCAACCCGTCAACCCATATATTATATGAGTTGGGTTGAGTTTATGTTTTCTTACCCGCCAATGTGACAACCTGAAGTTGTTCCATCGCTACAACCCGTTCCGTTCGTAAAACTCGTCTTAAGCGAATTATTCTGTTCCGTTTTTGGATTAGGTCAATTAAATTAAGACTTTTATTTTGACTTTGTAAGTATCCAAACATGTTAGAAACACAAGAAAACGTCTCAAACTAGTAATTAGAAAAACCTTAGTTTTGACCATATCGGGTGACGACAACTTAATCGGGTGCGACCAAAAGCCTCGGTTAACATCAGTATCGGGTAGAATTCCACCGTGTCTCAAATCCAAACCATATTTAAAGTGGTTTAAGCCTCATTTGAACACTTTTTCACTCTCTCTCTAACCTTTCTCCTCAATCCATGATCTAGGTCCAAAAATCACACTTTCCAAGCTTCAAATCACTAAGGTAACTTCCCTAACTCATAGATTAGCATCTTAGACCTTCAAATTCGTGGTTAAGCAATCAATTAGGACCATTTTCATGTGTTTACGGCCCTAGAACATGCTTGGGCCGTAAACACACATATAAGGGGTTTTTGAGCCTTTAAACCCTTCCAATCGACCTTTGGAGCTTAGATATGACTATATGACTTAATGTACTGGACTTAGAACACCTTGAAACGAGTTTTTGGAGAGTAAACATGAGTTTACTGCCTAAGAACATGCTTGGGCCATAAACTCACCTTCATGGGGAGTAAACTCATATTTGAGTGTTTAAAAGCCACTTAAACACACCAATAGCCTTGGATTAAATTCTAGAATCAACCACCAACAAGTTAGGGACCTTAAACTTGATTAAAACAACTCCATAAGGAGTTCACGGCCGTAAACCCCTCATGAATGGGTTCCTAGGCCGTAAACTCCTATAAAGGGGTTAAATGGTGCCTTAAACTCACCCTTTGACTTGTAAAAATGAGTAGAACCACTTATGATTAACCTATGGCCTTCAAAACACATAAGGAATGTGTGGGTGAGAGTTTACGGTTGTAAACTCATAGTTTACTGTCGTAAACTCATCAAATGGTCCATATGTTTGAATTAGTCCCTTTCTAATGACCTAGAACAAAACCTAGCATCATCCTTCAATTGGTAAAAGGCCATTTAGCACTCAAGAACTCATCCATGAGTTTACGGTCGTAAAATCATGGGGATGAGGTGTTTAGGGCTGAAATCTCTTCTAAGAGTTTACTCTTGAAGAGTAACTCCTTATCCAAGCCCTACATGCCCATAAATGTCACCCGGGTCACTCTAAACACTTGAATTGAAGTGTTTTCGCAACTAGAAGTGTATATCCTCTATTGATTAGTGATTTAAATCTAATTAGATACAATTATGTATCATTTAATATTACATAGGAACCTCACACATTTTCAAGCCTCGATCTGACGTTTAAACATCCTAGTCGACACATTTTTAGTTCAGTGAGTTCATACCCCTCAATGAACCTTTTAAATGTTTTTACATGTTTTAGGGGGGGGGGGGGATAAAAGTACGTTACTACGTGTTTTATTATCAAATCATATGTGATTTACAATCTATCATCAAAAAGGGATTTCTCTACAATTTTAGGTACTTATCAATAAAACTGTTTTAACTAATTATCAAATGCGCTTTTAAGGTTAAATTGTTGTTAAACTATTTTCAAAACTATGTTTCAACTACTTTTCTTTTTTTAAAAATATATCTACATTAATATATTTATATAAATAAGACTTGAAAGACTTAGGACCGATAGGTGACCTTATTTCCTGTTCTTGTTTGATGTGGTTTTAGGGTATTGGTTATCCGTCCGACTGTCGTTGAATTCTTAATTATATATCATATATATTTGTGTTAGATATGAATGTTTTTATCTTATTCATTACTACTGTTGATCAGAAGCATGAATTCACATACTCTATTTAACTATAATAGGTATAGTTAAGGCTACTACTAGTTACCTCTACTACTACTATACTCGCCATAAACTGTTAATGTTACAAGCTAATGCAAGTATAAGAGAACACTCTACTTACTATACTAAAAGTCTACCATACTAAAGCATAAGAGAATTCACTAATACAAAGTATATCACACTACCTCTCTATAAGGCACTCCACTATACTTACACCATGTGACCAGGGCTTCCCGAAAGGAAAGCAACACTATATGTATAGATCTATACAGAACTGACACTATTACATCCCGACTGTTAACTACAGTCCGAGCCGACTAGGCCCAGGGGTGGCACTACACTACTTCACTAGGCATGACCGGGAAGGTCATCGGTACTCTACTACTTACAATTGGTCACATGAGAAGTTAAACTTACATCTAAATAAATACACTAAGACTTAAAGTCTGAACTAATATCCCGAAGTAATTAAAGATCTATTACTAATTAAAGTTACAACACTACTACTGTTAACAAGCATAACTTTTCTTCAGTCATATTACTTACATGAGATTTATTACTACACTTTTACAATTGAAGGTTTCAACAATATTACTTTTACACACTCAGAAGATTGATTTACAAATGTACTTTCTGGAAAATATAGGAATTCTAGGGATTTCTACTACTCATAAATACAAATTTCAGTTTTTATACTATAAGTTTGCAAACACTTTTATACTACAATGACACTAAACTCTTATGAACTCACCAACTTTATGCTGATATTCGTCTTCAAAATAACTTGTATCCTCAGGTCAAAGATAGACAGGTACAGGGCAGGTTTTGGAAGAAGATGGAGCATATAGAAGACTCATCTTTTATTTTGTTATACTTTTGGTGTCTATTAAACTTTACAGAACACAATTGTAATTATTATCACTATATATATGAAATGCTTGTTGTTTCTTGTTGTTACTATTATGCAATTGTAATGATATTGTACATGACGTCCTCCACCCCAAAATGTATTCCACCGTTCTCGGTTTTGGGGTGTGACAGCCAATCTGCCAATCCATGACCCGCCAACCCGAACCCAACCCAATTGCCAGGCCTACTTAAGAGTTTAAGTTGTTTTTGATTTGCATAAAACCCATCAGTAAAGTGTCCAACCCAAAGGCTTCAACTCCTATGAGCTTTGAAATATCTGCATTCACTACACCAAGGCTCAAGTAAATGAAGCAAGTGATGAAAATGAGATGAACAAGGCAGAGATTAAACAAGAAAAAAATGATCCAATACTGGAAAAAAACAACATGCCAATCCGGCTTCAAATGAATGATATATACATGTTTTAAACTTTTCACAGAAAGTGGTTCTTGTTCCTAACACCGGTTCTAGTTCTTAAACCCGGACCCAAAAGACCTAAAACCCAGAACCCGGATAAAGCCATTCTTTAAACCAAAAATCCGGACCGGTTCTACATATTCCGGTTCTAACAGTTTCAGTTTCGGTTTATTTTTTTGGTTTTAAATCTCATCCCTAACAAGTGCCATGACCGCAATAGCTAACTTTAGTGGTTAACTATGACTAGGGCTGTAAATGAACCAAATGAATATGAACAAATGATTGTTCATGTTCGTTCGTTTAAGTTAGCCGAACAAACGAATGAACACTAATGGATAAAAGAATGAGTTTTCTTGTTTATGTTTGTTCGTTTAACAAATTACATTGTTATGTTTGTGGTAAACTAACATAAATGAACAAAGATAAACAAACATAATTAAACATATATAAATATAAACAAACATATTATAGTAATATATAAAAAACAATTAAACATATATGAAGATAAATGAACTTAAACAAACAAACATAAATAAATGTAAACGTATAATATAAACAAACATTCATGAACATAAATGAACGAACGAAACCATTATTTATGTTAGTTCGTTTAGCAAAACGAACTAGAATTTGTGTTCATTTTCGTTCATTTATCAAATAAACGAACATAAACGAACTTCATGCCGAACGTTCACTTTATTTATAAATTATAGTCCTAGCTATGACCATGTAGTCTTTTTGGACCAAAATCAACATTCAATTATTTAAAGCTAAAAAAACAAGAAGAAGATATATCGGGGGTGAAAATGTAATTGCAGGAAACTTAAGAGGTTCCTTAAACCATTTATCCAAAACGGCAAAACCCCATTTCGCTGTCAAAAACCCCTGCCTCTGCTACTCACTGATACGTTCCACCGTCTCTTTCTACGAGAAACCTCCGGCAGATTGCAGCTCCGGCGAAAAGCCTCGACTAACCACCTACGTCGAATTCGGAGTTACTGTCCTCGGTACTCATCTTCTCTTGATTAATTTTATGTCTGTTTCCTGCTTCAGTTTAATCTGTATTGTATACATTCCTTAGTTTAAAAGCCATTTTGGATTTGTTCTGATTGTGTAAGAACCTTATTCAAATTTCTCTTAGGTTTGTAACCTGCTTTTGCACCAATATATACTATTTCTGATTGTTGGAAGCTGAAAGCACAACCCTGTTTTTATTCAAAACCCTAGTCATAAGACGTTGAAACCGTGAAATTGAGCCAAATACCACTTTAGCGAAGAAAGATTCTGTCTGAATCGAAGCTATGGCTGGGCGTTTACGCAGACATGTTTATATACTTCTTGTTTAATTGTGTGGGTTGTGTACCAAACAGGTCTTAATCTTTAGCATATGGACCTGATCGAATCTATTCATGACATCCCTGTGCAAAATCCATCAGTGGAAGATTTCTCTGCTTCGGACTTAAATTGGATAAAATTTGGGACTCCTGAACACCATGATGACGTGGCACTAATTCCATATGCTAGAGCTGAAGAATTCATCATTGGCGAGTGTTCTAATGTAGAATGCCCAACCCGTTTTCACATTGAGAGAGGAAGGAAACGTTCATTAGGCAGCCTGATGGAATTCAAGAGCGATGAATATCTTGAGTATAGACTGTAAGCATTTTGACAATTCTTGTAACTTTAATTTATGCTTGCTTTATAAACACCTAAATTCCAAAACACTTGATAAAATCTCAATTATTATTTATTTATTTATTTATTTTCTGTATTCTTATAGGTACTGGTGCTCATTTGGTCCTGAGAACTACGGGGAAGGCGGAATCATATTGCCAAGCAGAAGATACAGACTCAACACCCGAAACCGGGCAGCCCGACCTCAATCAATGCGAGGCTGCACATGTCATTTTGTTATAAAAAGATTATACGCGCGTCCATCTCTCGCCCTCATAATCTACAACAACCGCCGCCACGTCAGCAAAATCCGGATTCATCTGCCACGGGCCCCTCGACCGGGACGCCATTGGTCCCGGTGCGAAGAAAATCCCGTACGTGGGACATGAAATCCAACAACAGACGATGTCGATGATTTATCTTGGGATTCCGGAAGAAAATGTTTTGGAGAAACATATAGAAGGGATACAACGGTATTGTGGTTCGGATTTGAAAGTGAATTCGATTGCTTCTCAGTATGTTCATAAACTTGGGATGATAATTAAACGATCGACACATGAATTGGATTTGGATGATCAAGAAAGTGTGAGGATTTGGGCGGAAAGGAATAAAAATCGATTTTTTATTATCGGGATGCTTCGGAAACGGAACCCTTTATTCTTGGGATTCAAACTGAATGGCAGTTGCAGCAGATGCTTAGGTTTGGACATCGGAGTCTTATAGCAGCAGATTCAACTTTTGGAATCAAGAGATTAAAGGTGCATACTTGTATTCCAGCTCTATTTTCTATGATGAGGATCAGGAGGGCATTTGCATCTTTTTTTTTTTTTTTTGTCTTAACTCATCGAGCTCATTAAGTCAAAAAGAAACAACCCCTTAGCTTCTGAAATCTAATAGCCTTGATGTGTTTTGTTTTTAAAAAAATTTCTGATTGCAGTATCCTTTGTGCACACTTCTTGTGTTTGATTCGAGACAACACGCACTCCCTGTAGCATGGGTAATTACTCGAAGTGTTGCAAAATCCGATGTATGTAAGTGGATGAAAGCTCTTCTTGGCCGTGTTCGTGCTGTTGACCCAACATGGAAAGTCAACGGATTTATTATCGATGATGCAGCAGTAGAGACTGATCCCATAAGGTATGCTATTCATTCCTGAAATTAATGATTCTTTTTTGCATATTGCTTATTTTCATATTGGTTAAATGCAAGAAATAACAATGTACTTTCATTTCTTCCTATTACAACATTTTACTTTCAAAATCTACCCAATTATAGGCTTAGAGCAATTCCATTCAAACAGAATGCAATTTTTATTGTTATAATAAGGATTTAAAATACACAAATAAATCAAAGTACGTTGCTAATTCTTACATTTAGCCCTTTCTATATTGGGTTAAAGGTGCATAACATATGTTATTCATTCCGGAGATTAATGCTTCTTTTTCCGTTTTACTTATATTTATACAGGTTTTAGCAAGAAATAACAACATACTCTGTTGTAAAATCCTACTTTCCTTTTTTCCTATTACAGCATTGTACTTTAAAAATCTGCTCAGTTAATAGCAAGGTCAGTGCAATTTTCACTGTTATAAGAAAGAAATTACAATGCTACATTGGGTAGATTTTCCAAAGTACAATAGCTGGACAAGAAAAAAAAAAAAAATCAAAAGTACACTGTTGTCTTACTAGGAAGAAATGAAAGTAGTTTGCTATGGCTTTATGCAAAATTCAGTCTCTTACTCTTAACTTATTTCCACTTTATGGCTTTATGCAAATAACCAGTTTTGTAGACAAAATATGCAAACCCCTTTTAATTTTAGGATCAAAAGATACAACATTTAACCAGTAACTTGTTTAATCCGTTAAAACGTTGTTGCTATGGCTGTAGTTTGAAATTTTTTTGAATTAGGAGATTGTGCTTTGAAAAATCTACTCAAGTTATAGCAGTGAAAGTTTCATTATATCTAAATGACATCAGCATGATGTACTTTCTTTGTAGGGAGACGTTTTCGTGTCCTGTATTATTTTCAGTGGGCGTGTTCGTCGGTCATGGCTGAGACATGTTGTGAAGAATTGTAGAAACATTGAAGTCCAAAGACAAATCTTTAAACGTTTGGGAGAAATAGTTTACAGCATTTGGGGAGGAGTTGATCCTTTTCTTGTCTTACAGAAATTCATCCAAGATTTTGTTGACCAAACTGACTTCATGCAATATTTCAATGCCACATGGGTGCCTAAGATTGGTTAGCTACAATCCTACCTTTTTCATTTCCTTCTTAGGGAATCGATAAATGCAACAAATAGCAACATACTTTTGTTTATTTATTATTCATTTCTTAACACAAATAGCAACATACTTTTAAGAAACTAAATCAACAAAATTTTCTTCCTAGTTTGATAGACGTTGCTATAATCGGGTAGATTCTTCAAAACACAATACTATAAATGTAATAGTATGAAATAATAAACAAAATCAACAGAAGTAGATTGTTATTTTTGCATTTAGCCTTTATTGATTTCTTATTCCATTCCTCAGAGATGTGGTTAACAACAATAAAATCCCTCCCACTAGCAAGCCAAGAATCCTCGGGTGCAATCGAATCCTACCACGTGAAACTAAAACTCAAACTCTTCGACGACTCGCACCTGGGTGCACTCCAACGAGTCGATTGGTTAGTCCACAAGCTAACCACCGAGCTCCACTCCTCCTATTGGCTCGACCGCTACGCAGACGAAAGCGACTCCTTCCAAACCATCAAGGACGAATACGTAAATTCCACCTCATGGCATCGAGCATCAAAAATCCCAAACACCAACATTACATTTATCCCCAAACACCACCAAAATCCTAAGCCAAACCGATACTTCCCGTTCCCATATCGTCTCGAATCCCGGGTCCGAATTCGCGTTTTGCGATTGCGAGTGGTCGTTACGCGGGAACATCTGCAAACACGTGGTCAAAGTCAACACGATGTGCGAGAATCTAAAAGGGTACCAAAGTTCGTTGTCGTTTCACGCGTTTCAAGAGATACTTGTGAAGATGTTTGAAAAACCATTGGATGATTCGATGGACCTTGATTGTCAATGGCGTGGTTGGGTCAAATTCATGGTCAAATTGAGAAACTTGTGGAGTTGAATAAGTCAACGGATATTGGAACGGTGGTCAATGGGCTTCCGTTGAAGTGGAATTCTAAAAAAAGTAGAACGTCGTTGGCCCGTAGACCGGCCACCGTGGGCCAGTCGTTGGCGCTGACGTCAGCGAATAGTGGTGTTAATGTTCGGAAGAAGAGTCGGAAGAGGAAAAGATTGTCGCGTATAAGGTAAATAAGAGAAAGAGATCATTAATTTCTGCTACCTTAATTGTTTTTGTTGTCTTTTAAACCCATGTTACGCATTTTTTTTTATGCGGTTTAGAGTTTTTAAGTACGAAAGTTGTAGATAACATTTTTTTATATCTATTATATTTCATTACGCTGTATATAATCTTTGTATTTGATTACACTTTTGTTCTGAAATAGTTTAAGGATGGATCGACGTATTTGCTTATGAGGACAAGAGTTGCTCTTGTAAGTTATATATAAGTGTTTTTATTTATTTCTTTATTTATTTAATGCAATAAGATGATTTAATGCAGATCGCTAGCACAATTGACTTCACATTTTTAACAAAAAAATTGACTACTAATATATCGACGATCTTCTCACATACATACAGGGTCATCAACAAAACAGATTGATGCTCTCTTTGTTTTCTCCTAAGTATTAGTAAGTTACCATAAATGATCCTTGAAAATGTTTTATAAAATGACGGTGTTTTTCAGGAGACGATAGAAAAAAATATGAGAGTCGATTTATTTATCTATTAAATTGTTAATTTTGTATCAAGTAAAAAAAGTGCTTATGTATACTATCTAACGTTCTGTTAAGTTAATAAAATAATAAAAAGTGACAAATATAGTCAATTTCTTTGATGATTACCATAAAGGATGATTTTTTGAATCTCAAAATAGCTCAGTTTGAATTGTGAAATGCATTATTCAATATGAAATAGTTATGTACTGTAAAATGACATCGTTTGCTTAAAAAAATGCTGAGAAATCCTTTGTAATACCACAGCTACGTATTCTGATTATTATATTTGGAAAATAGATTTCAAGAAAAACCGTTTTTTTTAGACACCTATTTAAAGATGTATATATAGTTTAGCCAGGAGGTTTTCTTAATCTGAGTTATCCTAACAAAATTTGTAAGGCTTAAGATCCACTTGTGGATATAAAACAAACATTTTAAGGTTGGAATCATCATTTTAATATGAAAACACAAGGTATGTTTTTATATCAAAATAAAGATAACATCTATGTTTACTAAGAACTAGTGGAAGCATAATAATATTCCTAATCTTGTATGAATGAGATATACTTAATCATAATAAATTACATTTCAGACTACGCAACACTTTTTCCCTTGACTCACAATGTATTTTTAAGATGAAAGATTTAGGAAAAGAAAAATAAAAATGTAAAATCTATGGAGATAGATAATGATGAATGTTAAAGTTTTAAACCTTTATGCATATGGTGAGAAAATCTTGAAAGAGATCAAGATACAAGATTTCTTTGGAGGACTCTTGGCATTGCAACATGGCACCATTTTGAGTCTCACTCAAAAGGACCTAACACATAGGTTTGAGCTAGATAAAATGATTTATATTTCATTTTCTTTAACAAATGAATCTATCATTTATGCCATATTATGCACAAGAGTAGGTATATGATCAAACTATGAACATATCATAAGATACCAATAAGATACATGAAAGCTCATTAGATGACTATAAAGACATTCAAAAAGTACTTATGAAGAACTAGAGAATGTATGAGTTAATCAGTTTAGAAGAAGATCTTCATGTAAAGAGCTACATAATATGCTAATTTCAAAACACACACATCCACACACACACACACACACACATATATATATATATATATATATATATATATATATATATATATATATATATATATATATATATATATAACTGGATTATAATTTCATTATGGATTCAGAGTAAGTTTTATTAGAACGAGGTCCAAACAAAACATAATTGCATAGTCTACTACAAAATAAGAATATACTACTACTTTAAAGGTTGCAATCAAATATGATTGTATGAATGAGTTCATTAAAAAACTAAGTTAAGTCCTTCCATTCAAGGATCACATAGGAATTTTTTTGTGAGTTCAAGAGTATATTTAATCAAACTAAGATAGTCTGAATTGTCACAACTAGCATTTTAGCTAGGGAATTCTTTCCTCATGTAAACATCAACTATTGCAAGATTTGTACTCTAAATGGATATCATACTCTATGCTCAATCAAAATCATCAATTTGAATCAAAATTCCTGAGTGAAGTTCAAAACCTAATACAATACATCTTATATACTTAACTATGTGTCTGAAACCCTAAAAACCCCGGTTCAAATTTATTAGGGACTATGATCCTCTTATTGGGCCTGATGGGCCAGTAAACCTTCTATTTGATGATTTTGGGCCAATGAAACCCATTTGGGCTCTAGTTGGGCCTATATTTGTCAAACCATAGCAATTGCACCGTGTTGGGTATAAAGTAACTCACTTATTTAGCATGGTCATGATGGGCCGTGAACCACCCTATTGAACCATGATGGGTCGTGAACCCATCCTCTCATAGTATTTGGACCGTAAACCCCATCCCTTACCACCTTTGGGCCGTGAACCCTCATAAGGGCCCAATGGGCCGAAAACAATCAACTTGGGCCTTATAATATTGAAATCAAGCAAGTAAGGCCCAAACTTTTTCTCCTTTCTTTTTCTTCTCCTTTATTCTTGGCCCAACTATAAGAAAGAGAAAGAAAAGAAGAGATAATAATAGGATGAAAACCTTGACACCTTAATGTTGCATGGTGGTAATCCATGCACAATAACCACCATACAACAAGTTAAATCCCATACTTCTATCCAAGGTTTTCTCACTCCCTCTCTTCTCTTCAAATTATTGGCCATAAGACCTCCCCACCATCAGTCTTCATTTCAAACTCAATATTCTATCATCTTTCCCTCTCAAAATCAAGGACAAAATCGTGAGTGCGTGTGAGGGTGTTCAAGAGTTCCACACCAAGACCCCAACTTGGTAAGTTCTTGTTTAACTCTATGGTTTAACTTCAAGTTTACACTAAAAATCTCTCCTTAAACCACTCGCATTTCATGATCATGCTCTTAAAGCTTCATAGATCTCGAAAATCTTCTCAAGGAAACATCTAGGGTCGAAATCTTTTTCGAAATCTTCTTTAAACCGAGAACAACAACCCAGAGTGAGTTCATACCCCATATTTTCGGTTTTCACTATGTTTTGGGGGCGAATACAAGTTGCTTTGTGTAGATCTATATGTTTATGCATGTATATGTGTGTTTTCATGTTATATGTTGTGTTTATGTTATGAAAACATGCTAGATCTTTACTAAATTTGAAATATCCACCATATTTGGTGATGTTTGTAAACAAAACTATCTTATGTGACATACTATGTGATGAAAAGGATTAAACAAGCTAAGAATGTGTGAACACTAACCAAAATCGTATAAAGGGCCATTTTTGACAAAATAAATAAAAGGTGAGGTTCTTATGTAACTCATGGTTTTGGGAGGACCAAAAGAGTCATTTTTAAAGCAAAATGGATCTTTGTGATATTCATGGTCTTAGAGGGGCCAAAAGTGCAAAATTTTCACAAATGGGCTTCTGTATGGGTCTTCACGTTTTTTAATGGGCTAAATATGCCAATTTTCACAAAAGATGGGTCTTTATTATGCAACTCATGGTTATTAGGGGTCAAAAGGGATTATTTTTGCTAAAGATGGTTAGTTGCAATATGTGAGACCCTACGAGGACTAAAAATGTAAACATTTTCATAAATGGGCCATATTTGGACTTTTATGGGCTTAAATGTCATTTTCAACAAAGTTGTACCAAAAATGTAAATTTTTGATAAGAGGGATTTTAAAATGTGAAATTATTAAAATTTGGGCCAAAAAGATGGATTTACCTATAATGGGCCGAAAATGCACATTTTTATAAAGATCAAGCCCAAAAATGATATTTTTGACAAAAGTGAGTAAAAATGATTATTTTTACAAAAAGTGGGTCTTTTATGTCATTTCGGAAAATTATTAAACTAGAACAAGCAATAATATGACAAACGGGCTAATTATGTCATTCTCGTGTTATTGGGCTTTGGTGACCCATTTATATGCCTGATAGGTCCTGAATACTCTATATATGTTTATTGGGCCTTGTTGGCCCATTTACATGCTCGACGGACATTGGATACTAATTGCATGCTATTTGGTCCTGTAAATACCATACATGTGAAATGGGTCTTAGTTTTCCTTTTACATATATTTTGGACCCAGATTATATAATCTCATTCCTTATGAGCCTAGAAATGATTTACATGTTAGTGGGCCGTAGTTGTTCACTTACATGTTTATTGGGCCTGGAATGTGCTTTATATGTTTCTCTTCGCGTAAATTTGATTAAGGTTCTAGTGAGATGTGTTGGTTGACACCTATTGAGTGTATGATTGTAGCCTGCAGTTATAACCAAAGTCTCTTGGAGGGAGAGCGGGGATTTATGTATAGATCTATACGAGGATGACACCCCACACCTGGGCTATTCGCTACAGTTAGACTGAACCAGTCTAGGGTGACGAAAACCTTACCTTATTCCGTCGGCGTTCAACAACGCCAAGATAGACGAAATTGTCATTATCTAGTATCGTTATAACGACTCACTTAGAGGAATTACCATTATAAATTTACAGAAGACCATTCTCTTTTCTCATTGGATTACTCGGTAACATACTTGCACCGGTACTAAACCTCGAGGGTTGATATACCGACATTCTCTTTTCCAGACAACATCGGGTTGTCTGGGGGCATTCTCTATACATTCTATTCATTATATTTTTACATTCTAATAGACAATAATACACATGCATTAATACAAGATCGGA